GAGAGATAACAAGAGGGGGAGGGTAGAGGAAAAAGCAGACTCCCCGCTGAGCTGGGAGCCCGATGTGGGACTCGATCCCAGGACCCTGGGATCATGACCTGAGGAGAAGGCAGAACTGACTAGGCCACCCAGGTGCCCCTCCCCCAGATAACCTTTAAACAAATTATACATGTTAGTTACTTATTATATCTGTTTCTATCATGTCTCCTCCACTGCCTCTAACATGTGGACTCTTGGAGGACAGGATCTTTGTTTTGTTCACTGAAGTTCCGGGGTTCATGGTACCATGTTAATAGCAGTCACTGGACACATATTTGTTGAGTAAAAAGATTTTAAAGGCTTAAATAATCAAAAGGAAAAGGTAAAATTATCAAATCTTTAGAAAACGTAAAGGTGAATATAAAATATTCATTCAAATCAGTATGAGAAGAGCTTGCTGAGCATTAAGAGAAGACGTGGAGGAGGAGGGGGAGAAGGAGCGGCAAAATGCAAACAGGAAGAGAACGTTAGTTACATTCAGCTATATAAACGTATTTCCCCAACTGCTTCCCCACACAAATGGTATTTCCAGGGGCACCTGGGCGGCTCAGTCAGTTAAGTGTCCGACTCTTGATTTCGGCTCGGGTCATGATCTCAGGGTTGTCAGATCGAGCCCCTCATCAGGCTCTGCGCTCAGAGGGGAGTCTGCTGGAGAGTCTCTCTCTCCTTCTCCCCCTGCTCCTCCCTCCACTTGTACTCTCTCTGTCTCTCTCAATAAGTAAAGAAATAAATAAAATTTTTAAAAATCTTAAAAAAGTAAGTGGTATTTCCATCATCTATGGAATGAGTGCTAGGGCTAATCTGAATTAAAAAAAAAAAAGCCTTCTTAAATCAGTAAGAAAAAACTAAAAATCAACCCATAGAAAAATGAATAAGGCAGCAGTTGTTGAAGTATATTGTGGTGACCCTTTGAGAGGGCTCATGGTTATTTTCATAATAATACTGAGATGTCATTTGCCTTTTTCACTATGTTGACATTTGCACTGATAATGCAAAAACAAGGGTGGCCCTTAGCGTGAATCCAGAAAGTGGCAATGGGGGCACCTGGCTGGTTCTGTTGGAGGAGCATGCAACTCTTGATCTTGGGGTTGTGAGTTTGAGCCCCACACTGGGTGTAGAGACGACTTAAATAAATAAACTTTTTTTTTTTTAGATTTTTAAAAATTTATTTATTTGACAGAGGGAGACACAGTGAAAGAGGGAACACAAGCAGGGGGAGTGGGAGAGGGAGAAGCAGGCTCCCCATGGAGCAGGGAGCCCGATGCGGGGCTCGATCCCAGGACCCCGGGATCATGACCTGAGCTGAAGACAGACGCTCAACTGACTGAGCCACCCAGGCACCCCTAAATAAATAAACCTTCAAACAAGAAGGAAAGTGGCACCCACCTGTACTAGTGTTACAGGAATTTTTATTCCCTTACTGCCCGAGGTTCTTCGTTATGGTGCTTTGAAGAATGAAGATGAAGACCAAAGAGTGGTGGGTAGCAAGGCAAAGTTTATTGAGCAATAGTACAAAGATCCCAAACAGGGAGGGGACCCGAGAGGGTTGCCGTCTTGATGTTCAAATCTAGGGATTTTTATAAGCTCTTTTGCAGAACTATCTTGAGCATCCTGAGTGTGGGTCCCCTGTGGATTGGCTGCTAAGGTGTGCCAATCAGGGCTTTGATCCTGCTCCCATCTACCTATCAGGTTAGGTCTTTTGGGCTGACATTTGGAGACTAACTGCCTCAACTTGTGATAGTGACAAATGTTTTATGTTTCATTATTTTATTTCAGGATGTTTTGCAAAAGTCACTCCTGCAGAGGCTACTATACAGGATGCTATTATGGTCTTGTCTAAGCTGTAAAACAGGATGCTGGTGCAGTTTTGTCTTAGCTGTCCCGGCTCCCTATTTTCTTGTTGGGGACCCTGGCCCTGACTACTTAATTGTCCAACTGACCCCTAACTAGGAGTTATGTTCTTCACCACCGTGCCACTTTCACTTAAGAAAGTCCTTGATGAAGCAGTAAATTTCTAAGTTTATTAAAACTTGGCCATTGAGGGCGCCTGGGTGGCTCAGATGGTTAAGCATCTGCCTTCGGCTCAGGTCATGATCCCAGGGTCCTGGGATTGAGTCCCGCATCGGGCTCCCTGCTAGGCGGGGAGCCTGCTTCTCCCTCTGCCTCTGCCTCTCTCTCTCTCTCTCTCATGAATAAAAAAAAAAAAAAAATTAAAAAAAACCTTGGCCATTGAATTCACATCTTTTTATTTTATTTTATTTTTTAAGATTTTACTTATTTATTTGAGAGAGAGAGAATGAGAGATAGAGAGCACGAGAGGGAAGAGGGTCAGAGGGAGAAGCAGACTCCCTGCTGAGCAGGGAGCCCGATGTGGGACTCGATCCCGGGACTCCAGGATCATGACCTGAGCCGAAGGCAGTCGCTTAACCAACTGAGCCACCCAGGTACCCGAATTCACATCTTTTTTAATAGACTTAATTTTTAGAGCAGTTTTAGGTTCACAGGGAGACTGAGCAGAAAGTACAGAGTTCCCATGTTCCCCCTACCTCCCACATATGCACAGCCTCCCCCACTATCAACATCCCCCACTAGAGCAGTACATTGTTACAATCAGTGAACCTACACTGACACATCAAAGTCACCCAAAAGTCCATAGCTTATATTAGGGTTCACTTTTGGTGTTGTACATTCAAAGGTTTAGACAAATATGTAAGGACATGTATCTACCATGAGAGTATTATACAGAGTATTTTCTCTGCCCTAAAAATCTTCTGTGCTCCACCTATTCATCCCACTTCCCCCCCTTAATCCCACTGATCTTTTTACTGTCTCCATAATTTTGCATTTTCCAGAATGTTGTATAGTAGGAATCATACAGTATGTATGACTGGCCAATTTCAGATTAGCTTCTTTCACTTATTCTATGTGTTTACGGTTCATTTAGGTCTTTTCATGGCTTGACAGCTTTTTGTGCAGATATGTTTCCAGCTCACTTGGGTAGATATTAAGGAGCTTGATCACTAGATCATATAGTAAGAGTGTGTTTAGTTTTGTAAGAAACTACCAAAATGCCTTCCAAAGTGGCTATACTATTTGGCATCCCCACCAGCAATGAATGAAGGTTCTTGTCATTCCATATCCTCACCAGCATTCGGATTTGGATTTTTTGCCAGTTTGATAGGTATGTAGTGTATCTCATTGTTGTCTTAATTTGCAATTTCCTAATCACATATGATGTTGAACAATTCTTATGCGATTTGCCTTCCACATATCTTCTTTGGTGAGGTATCTGTTCAGATCTATGGACCATTTTTCAATTGGGTTGTTTCTTTCTTATTGTTGCATTTCAAGAATTCTTTGTCTGTTTTGGACAATAGCCCTTTATCAGACACAGCTTCTGCAAATATTTTCTCCCAGTCTGTGGATTGTCATCTCATTTTCTTTTTTTTTTAAGATTTTATTTATTTGACAGAGACACAGTGAGAGAGAGGGAGCACAAGCAGGGGGAGAGGGAGAAGCAGGCTTCCCGCTGAGCAGGGAGCCCGATGCGGGACCCGATCCCAGGACTCCGGGATCATGACCTGAACCGAAGGCAGTCGCCCAACCATCTGAGCCACCCAGGCGCCCCTGTCATCTCATTTTCTTGAGCTTCTTTCATTTTTAATTTTATAAACTCTATTGTTTCAATTATTTCATTGACTATAACTTTTAAAGATAGCTTTATTGAGATATGATTCACATGCCATACAATTTACCCACTTAAAGTGTACACTTCCAATAGTTTTAAGTATCTTCAGGGTTATACAACCACAATTGGATTTTGGGACATTTTATCACCCCAGAAAGAAACCCTGTACCAATTAGCAGTCACACCTCATTCCTTACCACCACCACTCCCAGCCCAAGGCAACCACTAATCTACTTTGTGTCTCTGTGGATTTACCTATTCTGGACATTTCATATAAATTGAATCATATAACATAGGGACTTTTGTAACTGGCTTCTTTCACTAACATAATGTTTTCAAGGTTCATCTATGTTGCAGCATTAATCAATGCTTTGTTCCTTTTACTGTTGAGTAATGTTGTATGGCTACATTATTTTATTTATCCATTCATTGGTTGATGGAGATATGTGTTGTTTTCACCTTTTGGCTATTATGAATAATGCTGCTATGAACATTCATGTGCAGATGTTTGTGTGGACATGTCATTTCTCTTGGGAGTAGCCCTAGGAATGGGATTGCTGGGTCAGATGATAACTCTATATTTAACATTTCAAAGACCTGCCAAACTGTTTTCCAAAGCAGCTATGCCATTTTATATCCTTACCAACAATGTGCATAACTTTTGAAATTAAACAGGCACTCTTTTTGGGGTGCCTGTGTGGCTCAGTTAAGCGTCTGCCTTCGGCTCAGGTCATGATCCCAGGGTCCTGGGATGGAGTCCCGCATCGGGCTCCCTGCTCAGCGGGAAGCCTGCTTCTCCCTCTCCCCCTGCTTGTGCTCCCTCTCTCTCACTGTGTCTCTGTCAAATAAATAAAATCTTAAAAAAAAAGGCACTTTTTTAAAAAGATTTTATTTATTTATTTATTTATTTATTTATTTATTTATTTATTTATTTATTTGAGAGAGAGAGGGAGGGAGAAGCAAACTCCCCGCCGAGCAGAGTGCCCAATGTGGGACTCAATCCCAGGACCCTGAGCTGAAGGCAGATGCTTAACTGACTGAGCCAGCCAGCTGCCCAAACAGGCACTCTTTTTAAAGAACCCTAGCCCTGTTTCAAATAGAAGGTAGGTCCTCAGTAAGTGCTGAATATAAGAATGAATGGGTGGTTTGAGGAAGGTGAGGAGACGGACTGAACGTGGGAAGCAGGGTAGGAGATGGGGGAGCCCCTGACAGTGACTTTCACTCCAGCACCAGCTGGCCAGGCCCCTCTGAGCCCCATGTGATTCCCAAACAGGATCAACCAATTCCTTCTGAGCCTGAGATTGACCTGGAGGTTCTCATGGAACTATCCACAGAGGAACAGAAGACTCACTTGGAGGTAGAATGTGGGGCTGGGCTTAGAGCAGGAGGAACCCAGGAACCCAGGTTTTGCCTTCTTGAGTGGCATGGGGAGAACCAGTTCAGAGGGGAGGATTCCTGGGAGGGCTGAGTGGAGGCTTGTGGGAAAGTGCTGTGGCTGGGGGACCCATTCTTTGTTCTCTTCCACCCAGGCTATTCTCCGAAACTGCCCCCGTCCCACAGAGGTAAGGGATGCTCTGCAGGTCTGGGGGTAAGAGGGGCCCAGAGGCGGGGCCGCTAATGAAGAAGAGTGTTTGAGAGGAAGGTTGGCCCTCCGTCCTTCTCCCCTTCCCCAGTTCTGTAGACATGGGGTCAGGGAGACTAGGGCGGGCAGTGTGGCAGGTGGGTGTGACCCCATGCTTTGATCTCACCCGTTTCTCTCTCAGCCTTTTATCTCTGAGCTGCTCAGTCAACTCAAGAAACTCCGGAGACTCAGTCGGCCTCAGAAATAAGCCTTGTGAGACTACCTTCAGCAGCCTCCACACTGCCAGGCCTGCCCTGAACCTCTGAATCCTGGACTGAGAGGAAATGGCCCTGTGGGACACAGACAAGGAACGTGGAGGATGAGGAGGGACATTTGGATACTCCTAGTGTATGTGCAGTCACAGCTAGGCTTTCTGGAAGCCATTCATGGCTGTTGCCCAGTACTTTCCTTGGCAGCCAAGTGGATAAAACCTTTGGGAGTCCCAGCTGAATGGAGTGTGGAGCATATCTTTCCTGAGGGATGGGGAGGGGAGGGTAAAATGATATACCAGAGGGCCAGCATCCCGAGCCACCAGGCTCTATCCACACCTCCTCTGTCCGTCTATCCAAATTGGCCTTGAGAATTCAAAGGAGAAGATCACAGTTCTGCTTTAGAGCTCATGATCTAGCAAGGCCCAGAGGCCAAACAAGAGGGCACCAGACTAGGACACAGCATCCTGCATCACCAACAACAGGAGCCGAAGTGGCAAAGACTAGTTTTGAATCCCAGAGGAGGGGTAACAGGGAAAACCCAGCTGGGTCTGGGGATATCAGGGAAGGCTAAACCTTCCTGTTCCCCCTAAGTTGAGTCAGGAGGCATCAGGCTGAGAACTGTCTTGAGCTGGCTCCAGCCAGCAGCAGAAAGAGAAAAAGCAGGCGCTAAGCAGAGAGGTGTAAAGGGTACAGGCTGAGGCCAGGAGTCAGCCCAGGAGCGTGCTGCTGGAAAGATAGTGGGTCTGAATGGCTGGCAGGTTGGGACAGAAGCCTGGGGAGGTGGCATCCTTTGGGAGTAAGACACAGAGCAGGGTAGGCATTCACTGTTTGTGCATGCACTGTCTGAGTACTAGGGAGGCTGAGGAATCCAAGACGGTGGGGCCTAGGGGCTATGCTGGGCTACCCAGAGCAGGTTGCACCATTCAGATCAGTTGAACGAATATCCCCTGCCTGCTTCATATGAGGCTTCCAGGGTGGATGGGACTGTTCCTGCCTGGAGAAGCCTGCAGGATGGCCCCACCTTTTTCCTCACTCCAAAGGACTGGACTTTGAGTAGAAATCCTGTTCCTGCCACCTCTCCAGGGGCCCAGGCTCAGAGCCCACAGGGTTCTAGAGATAAGAGTTGCTGGGCTTAAGACATCAACATTTTTTTATTAGATCCACTAAGTGCCAGGGAAGGGCCCTGGGCCCTTGAGCAAGTTTCAAGGCTCATCATGCTTAGATTCACTATCGTCTTTTCCCCACCACACCTCATTCCCAGTCCAGGCTTGGCTGTTGGCAGGCTGACTTCTGCCTTTGCTCTGGCTCCCCCCCGTTATCATCTCGAATGGAGAGTTCTTCCTTCCTTCCAGGGACACCGAGGCTCAGGAAAGGGTGCATCCACGAGCAGTGTAGGCTGACTCACTCTCCCACTGGGCGCCCTGAGGCTGGGCCCAGAGGTGGGCTTGCCTGCCTGGTTTCCTCAGTGCTCTTGGCCTGAGCGCGGTGGGCGGTAGGGAGACGTCTGGTGCTCTTTAATTTCAAAGGCATCGTGGCCTTCCCTGTGGAGCAGAGAGAGACAGGTCAGGGGTCTGTTCGACTTCTCCCAGTGGAACAAACATTCCATCCGCCCTCACCGGAAGCAGCGGGTGCAGTAGAGGTCCCCGTCACAACCAGTGCAGCGCAAGACGGCATCTTCATTGCAGATGCAGCACCAGGGGAGCTCCTCTTCCTCAGCCTCCGGCCTGGCGGCCATGGCCTGGGCCTGTCAGGACCGGAGAGGAATGGGGGAGAGACATAAGGTGTGTAGGAGACTGCTGCAGGAGCGGCTGGCCAGGCAGGGAGGGAGGCTGTGGTGGTGGCCGGTGGGCTTTTCTCACCTCAGGCTCTGCCCTGCAGGACTGGGCCCGGGCTCGGAGAGCGGGCTCCACAGGGATGTTAAAGCCACTTGCCTCATCCAGGGCAGCTTCTTCCGTGAGCTGTGGACAGGGTGAAGAGGTGCAGCTCCCTGTTCCAGGCCTAGACCCTGACCCTCTTCCCCAAGAGTATTTCTGTGCTCTGTGGCCTTAGCTTCTCAACCCATCTCCCTTTATCTGTTGCCTGTGGCTGCTGATACCCCATCTCCAGGGGCCAGTAGGCAGGTCTGGGTCATAGGGACAGTGGGGCCCCAGCCAGAACAGGAGCTGCAGAGAGGCCATTCAGCACGAGATCAGAGGCAGGGTGAATGGGGCTGGGTGGGGGGTGGGGCAGTGAGACAGGGACAGGACAAGGTGGGGGGGTCAGGTGGGTAAGGCAGGGCCCACCTGCTGCAGGACTCTCTGGATGGCTGTCTCCTCATCCTCATCATCATCACTGTCTGGGAGGTGATAGTCCTGGAGGGTCACTTGAAGAAGGAACGACGGGAGCAGGGGAGGAGGAGTAACATGGAGAGAGTTCGCCCGAGGAGTGTACTTTTGCCCCCAGGAGCTGGTTGGCTTTCCAGTGGCACTTGTTCCAGAGCTAGGCAGCCTCTGTCGCCACTGATCAGACCCTGCCCGTCCCTGCCCCACCCTGCAGGGCTGGGGGACAGGAACAGAAGACTTTGCACCTGAAGAGACTGGGGGTCCCGGGCCCCTGATGCCTGCTATGTATTCCTTTTCCACTCCTTTGCCCCAGTACCTTCCTTGTGGCTCTGGGCAGAGCTCAAGAGACCCCTGGGCATAGGAATTCCCAGCACCTGACTCAGCGTGGCCAGGAATCGCCATTTTGTAGAGGTTGGCCTGGGGGGGTGCGTGGGGGGCCTGCCCGATGGACATGAGCGAGTTGCTGCTTCCCAGCCTCTACCTTTATCAGGGTCCTGGCCCCGAAGCACAGCCAGGCGCTTGGCGAGGGCCAGGATCCTCTCCTGCCTCGTGTTCTCTTCCCGCAGCTCGACCGCTGCCTCAGCCAGCAGCCTGCTCTTCTCCTCTTCCAGGGACCAGGTGGCCTGCCCCTTGGAATTAGCGCTCTGGCCTCCTGGGCCACCTTGGTTGAGGTCATTCTGGACAGAGGCGGCTGGAAGGAGAGAAGCAGTCAGGGAGGCAGAGATATTCCAAGATCTCTCATCAGAAGCCAGTGAGCCTATTTCTCAACTTCCTTTAAAAACCATAGATTATCAGCTTTTTGTTCAGCATTAGCTCCTGTGGTTTATATTACCAATAAAATCTACCTTTCCTCCATTTTTCCAAATGTAAAAATACTAGTAATCTTAGACATGTTTTTTTCCAACTACATCCATCCCCACTGCTGATATTTTTACATGTTGCCCTTAGGGTGGGTATTCCACAGTATGAGCATCACTGCCCAAAAAGATGAGGATATGGGGACACTAAGCCTCAGCCAGTCTCTCTGCCTGACAGGTCGGCATGAACACTTCCGGGCAGCAGCACAGAGAGGGCATGAGAAAAGATGAGGTTCTTTACGGCACCAGGCAGGAAGCTTTCTACCAGAGTGGGTGTGGCTCTGCCATGGTCCCCTTTAGCTCGGCGTTTCAGAGCAGGAAGTTCAAAATCAGACAGCTTTGGGTTTCAGTCCCAGTGCTGCCACTTAATACCTGTGACCTTGGTCAAGCTCCTTAAGCTCACCAGGCCTCAGTTTCCTCATTTATAAAATATGGATAATAATAGTATGTACAAGATTATGGAGGATATTCAATGAGATTATATCTCTAAAGCAGGGCTTCTCAATGTTGTTCATTGATATTTTGGACAGGACAGTTCTTTGTTGTGGGGGCTGTCCCATGTGCTATATGATGTTAAGTAGCATCCCTAGCCTCTGCTTGCTAAATGCCTCCCTGACTGCTTCTCTCCTTCCAGCCCCTCTAAGTTGTGACAACCAGATAGTCTCCAGATATTGCTATATGGGCCCCCCTGGGAAAATCATCCCTGGTTAAGGACCCCTGCTCTGAAGCATTTGAAGAGCACTGTCCAGTAGAATTTTTTATAATAACAGAAATGTTCTACATCATTGTATTTGTGCTGTCCAAGATTGTAGTTCAGTAGCATTTGAAATGTGGCTAGTACCATAAGGAACTGAGTTTTAAATTTCATTTAATTATTGTTTTTCTTTTTTTTTTTTTAAAGTAGGCTCCACGCCCAGTATGGAGCCCAACGCAGGGCTCAAACTCAAAACCCTGAGCTCAAGGCCTGAGCTGAGATCAAGCCTAACCGACTGAGCCACGCAGATGCCCCAAATTTCACTGAATTTTATTTTTATTTATTTATTTTCTAAAGATTTTATTTATTTGACACAGACAGAGAGATAGTGAGAGCAGGAACACGAGCAGGGGGAGTGGGAGAGGGAGAAGCAGGCTTCCCGCCGAGCAGGGAGCCCAATGCGGGGCTCGATCCCAGGACCCCGGGACCATGACCTGAGCCAAAGGCAGACTAACGACTGAGCCACCCAGGTGCTCCTCATTGAATTTTAATTAAATTCAAATAGCCTCTTCCTCATCCTTATCATTAGCATCATTGCAGAGAACATTCGCTGAACACTTACTGTAAGCCAGGCAGGGCCTTAAGTGCTTATTAGATTATCTCACCTTATTTCTCATGATTTCCCTGTGAGGTGGGTTTTACCACATATACCTCCATTTTGTAGCTGAGGATGAGGAGACTTAGGTCATGAAACTTTCTCACAGAGCTAGGTTAAGTGGTAGAATAAGAAATCACTGTCTGACTCTAAAGCCCGCAACATCCACAAGGCTTACACTGACTCCTGTTGGACTAAACTGTAGTTTACAATGTTGATTGGTTTCTGATTTATATTTGTGTCCCAGAGGGTGGGCAGCAGAGCCCGTCCTACTTGGGGAAAGAGTGGGGGGCAGGTCCCTGGGGGACCCAGGTGGAGAAGTTACCTGGGCCTCCTCGTTGCCGGCTCTCATCAATAACCACCTCTGCTGCCAGCTGTGTCAGCAGATCCTGTACCTGTTGGGCTTGGGTCCTCGTGTCTGGTGGCTGATGTGCCTGCTCAGAGGAGGGAACTTCAGTGGGGGGCCAGGGGAGGGGGGAAGGCAACACTGTAAGGTGCAGAACAGTCTAGGTTAGGGGTGGATGCTGAAGAGTTTCCAAAGCTCAGGGAAAGGGGACTAATCCAGGGCCCATAGAGATCTGGCCATTCTTTCCTGCCCCACCCCATCCTACTGCTTGTCCCTGGTTCCCTGGTCTCGCAGCAGGCCTGAGGAGCAAGAGATGAGGGTGGGAGGTGTTGCCAATTCCTACGAAGTACCTAAGTATACATGTATCTGGGCTTCTGCACGGTCCTTATCCTAGGACCCTCGTCTCCCCAAGTACTCACAGGCTTGGGGGTCTGGGAAGGCGGAACTCTGCCCTGCAGTGCAGCAAGCCGTGTCTCCATCTCCTGGGTGGAAGGGATGGAACCCCGGAGTTCATCCCTCAGCGCAGCTAGCCTGGCTTCTATCTCCTCCTGTGAGGCCACTGACTCTGAAATGGGTATGGAGAAGCCCTGTAAGATCCCGAGGAATCCTAGTCCCAGGAGGCATGGATGGTATCTTCTAGGTCACCCAGTCTGCCCCCACTCACTGGGCCTGTTCTGCTGGCGGAGCCGTGCTAGGCGCTCAGCAATGACTTGGTCTTGTTGGATCAGTCCCTGGCTCTGGACAGTGCTGGGCTTCTGCTTGGCTTCCAAGGCAGCCACACGCCTGGGAGGGTATGAGATTAGGCTCTTGAAGAATGCAGAAGGGAGGGGTGAAGGCACCCACTCGCCGTTTCCCATTCAAATCACTTCTAGGCATCCAGGGAGGCCTCCAGTGGACAATATTCTGTGGTCCTCATTCAGGTCACCCTGCAGCCCAATCCAGCTGACCAATCGAAGGGTCTGGCTGAGAGGACAAGGTCTACCAAGAAATGTTTCTGGGGAAAGGGCTGATGAGCTACTGTCTGAGCCCAAGAGGGCAGTCAGGAGGCTGAGCGATGATTTTCTCTGGACCCTGTGCTCATCTGATCTAGAGGCCGGGAAGAGAGTCCTACCTTATGGCTCCTTTGTCTTTTCCCCATCCCTATTTGTCTCTGTTCAGCACTTACTTCTTATAGTTCTGAGGTGGCGACCACGTGGAGGCATTGGCAGGAGAAGATCCTCTATAGAGAAGATATCTGGTATCAGAAGTCCCGCCATCTGCCAGTCAGTACCTCCCACCCCAAACACTTCCCGAGCTGATCTCTCACCACAGAGCACAAAGCTGTGTGGGCTGGCCAGCCGGGACCGGTACCATGCTTGGCTAAACCCTTGACCCTGTCAACTTCTCACCTGGTCAGGACCTCGTGGCACTGCTTGCAGACTTTCTGTTGGGTATTCCCAGTCCGGGGCACCACTGCACTGAAGCTAAGGCAGCCAGAACAGAAGGCCCGGCCACAGTTTTTACAGCCATACTACAAGAAACATGAAGTAGGAGGTTCCATCTCTCATCCATTTTATTCAAATCAGGTAAAGCTTTATGCAAAATTCCCATGCTTTCTACCCTGTCTTCAATTCCCTGATGCTGGGGTGTAGAAAACAAACATGCAAAACTTCATGCTGCAAGTCATTGACTCTTAATAAAGGAGTATCAGAGCGTGCAGAGCCCCTGCCTTCTCTGCCTTAGCAGAGATGGAGGGTGGCTTGGCTTTAGTATGGGATAACAATGGCCTCCATTTATTAAGCACTTACTGTGTGCCAGGCACTAAATTCAGTACTTAACATTCATCATCTGATATAATCCTCACAATTTATACACACTACTTTACTTAATCCTGATGACCACCATTAATTATTATTCCTATCTGAAATGCGGTCAGAGAGGTTACATGACTTGCCCAAACCAAGGTCATTCCATGAACAAGACAGCAGAGCTCAAATTTGAACACTGACCACCCTGATTCCAAAACCCAGGTTTCTAAGCGCTACAGGGATCTGCATCCATCCCTACTGCTATTCATCCATCCAATCTGGTTCCTATCTCCTGGTCACAACCGAGCAGAGGAAACCTATAGTTTACCAGAACTTAGGGGCCTGTGCAGAGGACAAAAGAGGCTTTGCCATGGTGCCCCGGGAGCAGGAGGAAGGGCATTAATCTAACTCAAGAAACCTGGGAAGGGCAGACTGCATGACAGTGAAGGTTTCAGAGCAAAGGAAGTAACCGGCACAGAGTGATGGAGAGTGGTCACAGGACAGTAACTAAGACTGGGCTGCGGAGGAGCAGAGTGGAGGGAAGGAAACAGCTGCATCATATACATGGTGGACAGGAAAGCCTACCTTTCTAGAAAGGACAGGAGCGTGCTCTACAGTTTATAAGGCACTTTCATCTCCAGCACCTCTCTGGATCCTCATGTCAACCCCGAAAGGGAGGGAGCGTTAGCCCAATTTTACAGAAATGGAAACTGAGGTTCAGAGACTTCATCAAAACTACACAGCTGGAAAGGGGCCATAAAACCAAGTCTACGGACTTCAAGTCCTGAGCTTTTCCTCCACTCCGGTCCTCCCTGTCCCTCTCGCCCGCGGGGAGAAGACTCGCCTCCTTCTTGAAGAGGGTAAACTTGACAGCGCAGCCGTAGCACCTACTCTCCATTCTGCTGGCCGGCAAGGCGCCGCAGGTTCCACAAAACTGAGAGATCGCGCCCGCCAGGTTCCGGGACCCCTGGACTTTCACTAAGCCCCGCCCTCGCCCGCGCCCCTTCGCGCGGGCTTGCTGCGGCCTCTGGCAGGAAAATCTCGGTCCGCCACGCTAGCCGGAGAGCGGTAGCGGTAGGTGCGTGGGCTGCTGGGAGGCGTAGTTCATTCACGACTGCTCCCTTCCTGCAGAGGCAGTCAAGCCTGAGCCAGAACACATTTCCCAGGGGGCTAAGCGCTATTCAGTCCGTTTGGGATGACAGTCCCCGGGAATCCCTACGCACGCTTAGACTCTTGGGAGTTGTAGTACGAATCCAGTCAGGGTTGGAACCATGGCGGTGACCAAGGAGCTCTTACAGATGGACCTGTACGCGCTGCTAGGTATCGAGGAGAAAGCAGCAGACAAAGAGGTGAGAACGGTGGCGAGAAGGGCCAAATCCGACCGGCCTGCCGGCCCTTCGTGTCTTGGCGCCTCGCCAGCGCTGGTACCCGCTTTCCAGGTTCCGCCGGGCCCTAGGGAGGGGAGTGAGGGGCGGCCCGATGGCCTCAGAAGGTGGTTTTCCAGACGTTTCCTGGATGGTCTCAGGGCCTCACGAAGAATTGGGGTGCACAGAAGGAAGTATCCTAGCGCGGGGTACTGTGCTCTTCCTCTGGCCCTTGCCTAGGAGAGGCAGCTGGATGAGCCTGCGAGGGAATCCGAGTCTCCTCCCTGCGCCTGCGCAGTGTCAGCCTCTGAGTCGCTTTTGCCTTTTTTGCCTTGAGGTACTTCATAGTCACCCTCCTGAAGGCTGACTGAACTCCGCTTAGATCGTAGGGCGGAAAAAAGGCCTGTCTCAAGGCTCCTGCACTCCCTTGTCATCCCTTTCTTGACAGTGTGACCTGTGACTCTGCCATTTCTGTTTTCCATCCCAGCCCATTATTGCCCTCTGAAAACGTGCTAGTGGGCTCAAAGCGGGAGGATCAGAAGAGTAAAGGCAGAGGGCCTGAAGTTCCACGGGAAGGTGTTGATAAAGGTGCCAGGGATCAAGCTGTAATTAGGATTTCTGTTATCTTCCCCTGGATAATGGTGGAGGTTGTAGCAGTGTAGGAAAGGGAGGCAGATAATTCATCAGATGAAAACTAATGCCTACGGATGGCCCTGTACTTCATGAGCTGTGTGAGCTTGTGAGAAGAGGAAGCTCTGGGCAGAAAAGCAAGGAGATCAGTAGGGTCCTGGAGGAGAGATGCTGTCAGCCTGCACATCACTGTCTCCTGCGACTGCAGCTGAAAGCAGAAGTTGGCCATGGATGTGTACAGAACACCAAAAGCAACTGCTACAACCTGTCTCATAACTCTGAAGATTTAGTATTAATAATGCCCAACACCTATATAGTGCTTACTATGTGCTGGGCACTATTGTGAGTGCTCTACATTTGTAAATTTAATTTGTACTTCATTAATAGTGAGAAATTACTTTGGACATTTTGCACCAAATCCCACCAGTGTGTTGGAACCCTGAAATGGAGAACTTCTGAGGAAGGCAATTGGGAACCGTTGATGTGTATATCACTCAGAGGTGGAGGTGGGTGGATGAGCTGCCACTAAGGGAGTGGGTGAGGCTATTGTCTAGACAAGAGACCAAGGTCTAAGCAGGCCAGTGTCCAGTTTTCACTCAGATGAGCTAAGGAATATGTGAGAAGCCTCTTTATAAAGGGTAAAAGGTGCTGTTCCTATCTGTTAGTAGGGGAGGCAGAACTATAATATAAGGGAGAACATAGTAAATTCCTTAAGAGGATATTATAAATGGCCAATAACTACTTGAAAAGATGTTCAGTACCACTAATCATTAGGTAAATACAAGTCAAAAACCACGATGAGATACCACTTTACACCCATTACGATGGCTATTATTAAAAAACAAAACAAAACAAAAAAACAACCAACCAAATACAGAAAGTAACAGGTGTTGACAAAGATGTGGAGAAATTGGAACCCTTGTGCATTGTTGGTGGTGCATCTGCTGTGGAAAACAGTGTGGTGAGTCCTCAAAAAATTAAACATAGACTTACATGATTCAGCAACTTTACTTCTGGGTATATACCCAAAAGAATCGAAAGAGACTCAGATACTTGTACATCCATGTTCATAGTAGCATTATTCACAATAGCTAAAAGGTGGAAGCAACCCAACTGGCCTCCATTTCTTCTTATGTGAGATTCCTCTTACATGAGATTCCTTGAGTAGTCAGATTCATGAGATAGAAAATAGAACGGTGGTTGCCAGGGGCTGGACGGAGGAGGTGGAATGAGAAGTTAATGTTTAACTGGTACAGAGTTTCAGTTTTATAAGATGTAAAAAGTTCTGGTGACTAATGGCAGTGATGGTTATACACTAATGTGAATGTACTTAATGCCATAGAACTGTACACTTAAGAATGGTTAAAATGGTGGGGTGCCTGGGTGACTCAGTTGGTTAAGCATGTGACTCTTGATTTTGGCTCAGGTCATGATCTCAGGGTTGTGAGATCGAGCCCCACACGGGGGCTCTGCGCTGGTCATGGAGTCTGCTTAAGAATCTCTCTACCCCCTCCCTCCAACCCGCAACACCCCCCCCCGCTCTTGAGCCCTCTCTCTCTACAAAAAAAAAAGAAAATTAAAAAATGGTTAAAATGGTAAATTTTGTTATGTATATTTTACTTTTTATTTTTTAAATTAAAAAATTTACATATATATATATATATATATATATGAGAGAGAGCATGAGTTGGCAGGGGGAGGGACAGAGAGGAGAGAGAAAGAGAATCCCAAGCAGGCTCCATGCTTGCCTGACGCGGGGCTCAGTCTCTTAACCCTGAGATCATGACCTGAGCCAAAGTCAAGAGTCAGAGGCTCAACTGACTGAGCCACCCAGGCTCCCCTGTTATATATATTTTATAATGAAAACAACCAACTAACCAAACCAAACCAAAACCAGCACAAGAAGAATGTTTGACAAAGACCATATGTGGCCTCCTAAAATTTTTGGCCTTTTACAGAAAAAGTTTGCATACCCCTACTAGAGTTAGGGGCAAGGTCAGCTCCACCTTTCCGTACATGGAACTTCCCCCTCTGCCATCCTCCTAGTGTAACAAACCTAGGAGCCCAGAAGTGGGCTAAACACCACCATTGGTGGAAATTTAGAGACTCAGCAACTCCTAGGTAGAGACTTCTGTTCCTATTCCAGCCTCAGAGGAGATAGGCAGGGCACGGTATTATCTTCTTATAGAAAAGCCTTGAATTGAGGACCTGGGTTTGGTGTGGAAGTGCTCCTCGGGAGAGGATCATGCCCTGGGAATTCAGTCCCTTGCTAGAACCTGAAGCAGTGAGCCCCTTATTCTTACCTGCTCATGTGCACGTGCGTATATGTGTGCATGTGTGCATCGGTGCTCACCCTTCCCCCTCACTCACTCACTCAGTCTCTGCTGGAGCAGGGCCCCAAGGCCTGCCAAGATGAAGAGTATGTCATGAATTAATGCCATTTGCAAACCCTCAAGAGATTCTGAATTAATCTCAGGAATTACCTGGGCGACTGCAGTGGCCTGCTAGCCCTTTTTCTAGTTCTCTTGCCCCCTTGAGCCTCTTCACACAGCAGCCAGAGTGAGCCTTTAAAAATGTGAATCGGGGCGCCTGGGTGGCTCAGTCAGTTAAGAATCTGCCTTCGGCTCAGGTCACAATCCTGGGGTCCTGGGATGGAGCCCCACATCGAGCCTGCTTCTCCCTCTCCCTCTGCCCTTCGCCGTGCTCATGCTCCTTCTCTGTCTCTCTTTCTTTCATATAAATAAATAAAATCTTAAAAAAAAAAAAAAGAAAGAAACCTGAAGGCCTTCTCTGGCCTGTGGGGCCCATGTTACCTTTCCTTCGTGTTCCTTACCATCCTCCCCTTGCTCACTAAGCTCTTGCCCTCTGTCCTCCTATGACTTTTTTTTTTTAATTGTGCTAAAATATGCATAACAAAATTTACCATCTTAACCTGTTTTGAGTGCACAATTCCAGTGGCATTAAGTACATACCCATTGTGCAACAATCACCCACTGTCCATCTCCAGAACTTTTCCATCATCCCACACTGAAATTCCGTAGCATTAAACATTAACTCCCCATTCCCTTCTCTACTATTCTACTTCTTTTCTCTGTGAACCTGACTATTCTATATACCTCATGTAAGTGAATATACAAATATCATATATTTGTTCTTTTGTGTCTGGCTTTTTTCACTTAACAGTTTTCTCACGTTTCATCCATGCTGTTGCATGTATCAGTATTTCCTTCCTTTTTATGTTGTTGTTTTTAAAATTTAAATATATATATTTTAAGATTTTATTTATTTTTTTAAATTTCTTTTTTTTTTAAAGATTCCATCTATTTATTTGAGAAAGAGAGAATGAGAGACAGAGAGCATGAGAGGGAAGAGGGTCAGAAGGAGAAGCAGACCCCCCGCTGAGCAGGGAGCCCAATGTGGGGCTCGATCCCGGGACTCCAGGATCATGACCCGAGCTGAAGGCAGTCGCTCAACCAACTGAGCCACCCAGTGTTGTTTTTAAAATTTAAATATATATATATTTTGAGATTTTATTTATTTATTTTTAAAGATTTTATTTATTTGTCAGAGAGAGAGAGAGAGCACAAGCAGGGGGAGCGGCAGGCAGAAGGAGAGGGAGAAGCAGGCTCCCCACTGAGCAAGGAGCCTAATATGGGACTACATCCCTGGACCCTGGGATCATGACCTGAGCTGAAGGCAGCTGCTTAACCAACTGAGCCACCCAGACGTCCCAAGATTTTATTTTTTTAAGTAATCTCTACACCCAACATGGGGCTGGAACTCACAACCCTGAGATCAAGAGGTACATGCTCTATTGACTGAGCCAGCCAGGCACCACCCCGCCCCGTTTTTAAGTTTGAATAATATTTCATTGAATGTATATACCACATCACCACATTTTGTTTATCCATTCATCTGTTCACAGACATTTGGATGATTTCTACCTTTTGACTATTGTGAATAATGCTCCTGTGAACACAAGTGTATAAATATCACTTTGTCAATTCTTTTGAATCTATACCCATAAGTGGAATTGCTAGATCATATGATAACTCTACGTGTAATGTTTTGGGGTAACTGTGTACTACCTCCCACAGCAGCTACACCATTGTACATTCCCACCAGCAGTGTACAAGGGCTCCAATTTCTCCACATCCTCCACAACACTTGTTATTTTCTCTTTTTGGGGGAGTAATAGACTTCCTACTGGGTGTGAAATGGGCCTCTAGTGATTTTTTTTTCAAACTCACCTAACGCATTCTTGCGTCAGGGCCTTTATACCTGCAAATCCTCCTGTTTAGAACATCCTTCTCTGGCAGTTGTATATCATCATCTCATGTCTGCACCTTATTCAG